ACTTTTCATTGGCCTTTGATGAGACGGAATTCTCGAGAGTAATTCCATTTCTTTTTCCTGTTTGGTCTCTTCTGGGTATGTCTCCGAGAGGTTGGTAACTACTAAATGGATATCTTCTGAAAACTTTCCTTCATTACCGAGTGAGAGTAAACTCCTTATTCAGAAGATCCATCATTTAGGAATCAAGAGGGATTAAAAATAAGTTCACTGCCTTATCCAAATCGTCCTTGGGTGGAGAGAATGCCGTTAATGCTGAGACCTTGTGATTTGATGGGGTTAGCAATTTCTTGTCATGTGGCTTATTTATCAAATCCCGGACACCATGGGACTTCTAATCATTCACTCTAGAATTTTAAAAAATCAACCAGAGTGAGAAACTTGCCTAGATCCTTGGACTTAATATCTATCAACTGAAATTGTTTATGCCCCTAAATCTCGTAACTGTTCTCTAATTTCTGGATGGAGGCATGGTTAAATATTTCATTAGCTAAGTCTGAATGAGAATTTCTCATTAGGCTACAGAACACGGGAGCGATACGATAATATTTGCAACAATTTACAAAGGTCAAATGGTTTGATTCAATTACATGCGATCCACGGTCTGACTCAGGAAATTATCATGCATACTATGGACTCCAGACAGAGTGCGTTCATCTAGTTCTTTCTGCCAATATGACTAAGTCGTGAAATCATGTTCGAGATTTTTTTATATGATTTATTCATTTTTAGCATTTAACCAGGCAGGCTTAATGGGAACTAAGTTTAAGATGCATGAAAAATACTGTCATCGTAATTCAGAGATGCTACTAACTGAAGGCTGAGAAATGATTTGCTGCGTTCGCAAAATATTAAATGAAGAATTATATGTCCAGTAGAAACTGCAAGTTGCATAAAAGAATAGTGCTTCAAAATTAAAATGTGTATTTACCCAATTTCGTTTATGGTGTAAAGGACTGGTAGTTGAATTTTCCCACAATTATAAGAGTAGAGCTGATGCTTCCATAGTCTTGCTTTTGCAAAAGGCTTTCGCATCCAGAGTTAACGGCAGTTTCGACCTCGCCTAGGCCTTATCAACGGCCCCAGCGGAAATCGAGCCATGACAGTACAATAAGTAATCTCGACATGTTAATCACTACGCCAGATTGCCACGAATGTCCTTGGGTCATTGAGCAGATGTGAATTTCAGAGAATACCAAGCATTTTCCCATATCAAATTCTGTGGTATGATTGTCAAAAACCTAATTCGAAACGAAAAATAAGTAATATAGTCGATTACTATAGCAAATATCAGTTTGCTTCATCGATAATCTCACCATAGAATGTGATATGGGCAAATGCTTGATCTTCCCTGAAATG